CTATAAATATGTATTCTTGGTCATTTTTTTTATAATATGAAAATATATTGCTGGTATTTTTAATATGAAAATGTATTTTTATACTATCACAGGATTTTTTTTTTGGGGGGGGGGATTCGTTATTTGCCCACAGCTGGAACCCTAATAGGTGCTACCAACCTGATCAGAGCAGACCAGGGAATAACAACAATTAAGAAATGGTTCCATGCTCATGAAAACCTTTAATAACCCGAGCAGATGCCTTGTTACCGTATATCATATTGAATAATAATAATATAAATATTTCATACGTGTTTTTTTTTCCGATGTGGTTTCCTTTGCCACAAGACTCTAATGTAGATTAATCCAAATTCCAGTCCTAAAATAAACACCAACATCTAACCAGAGAAATCTGGTTTACTATACTGACAATAACCAATTCTTACTAATGACTGAGACAGTCCAAAATACTTTAGTCAAAACAATAGAACAAACATGAAATTTGGTCAGTTTATCCACAATTTTAGTTAGTTAAGTGCCATACGCGATACACGATTGGGCGATCATGTATCTTTCGATTCATGACTGACAAGACAGAAGATTTTCTCGCGATAGGTTGCCGTACAGTAAATGCTGTTATATATATATATATATAAAGAAAATCCATGGTACATCTCTGTGGTTCAGTTAGAGCCCATTAAACACACACGGAAATCTTCTTCTTCTTCTTCTTCTTCTTCTTATTATTATTATTATTATTATTATTATTATTATTATTATTCTGGTTTAATTTAATAAAACTTCTTCCCTTGAAGGCAAATACATTCTACCCTCCCCAGCAACCTGACTGAAACATTTAGCTTTCACAGTTACATTCTATTTCCCGTTCCCTCCTCTAATTATATAGACACGAACTCAGTCCACACAGGAGTTGATAAAACAGACGACCGATATCTTCGTTTGCCAAAATAGGCTATTCCACTATTTTGGGTTTTATTGTTTATTAATATATATATATATATATATATATATATATATATATATATATATATATATATATATGTGTGTGTGTGTGTGTGTGTGTGTGTGTGTGTGTGTGTGTGTGTGTGGAAAAAGAGCAGAGAAAAGTTTCGTGTGTCGCTGTGAGTGTGTATGTCTGTGTGCATATGTGCGCGTAGCAGAAGCGAAATTTTGTGCTGTTACATGAAATTGAAACATTTTATGAGACGCTCCCGTATAAAACCTCTTTTGGTATACAGTGTAACCCGGATATAAGAGAGTTGTCGGGACCGGAGAAGAAGCCTCTTATATCCGGGTTTCTCTTATATCCGGGTTTGGTCTATTTTATATACATTAACACAGGCTCTAATTTGGGACCAGAGACAATCTCTCTTATATCCGGGTTTCTCTTATATCCGGGTCTCTTTTATCCGGGTTACACTGTATTAGTAATTTTTTTTTAATAAAATAAGGGCTCAGACTATATAACAATTTTGCTTTCGTTTATCATCACTTGCCTTAATAGAGTCAAATAACGAAACGCGTCGGCAAGGACAAACAAACACACACACACACATATATATATATATATATATATATATATATATATATATATATATATATGTGTGTGTGTGTGTGAAATATATATAAATATGAGATAACGATTTTAAATATATATATATATATATATATATATATATATATATATATATATATATATATCAAGAATGGTATTGGAGAAATCGTATTACAAATCTGAAAAAAGTTTACTTGCGACGCGTTTCGTCCTTCAGGGAATAGATAGATAGATAGGTAGATAGATAGATAGATAGAGAGAGAGAGAGAGAGAGAGATCAGCAAAATTACTCTGCAGCAAATTTTTCTCTATCCTTTTGAACTATATTCATTCAAGAAAATTTCTAAAGACATATTTATTCTTGTATTTTCCAAGTTTACACGCTCTTTCCTCGCTTCCGCCGAGACTCCTACACGCCAATATTCTTGAATTGATCTCTTGGCAGATTTGCCTTCTTCTTCATTTCAAGGCGTCAATTCCCGCACAGTCTCGTAAATACACATACACACGCCCAACTATAATCGATGAGCGGCACATACTTTGATGCATTCATATGCACATTTTGCACACCCTTCTACACATATACACATACAGATATTAATATTACAAACATAAAAGAAAGACATCAATCCTCTTCGACCAATATTCAGGTCAGGAATTTCTACTTGTTTCAAGTACCGCGTGACCCTGTACAACCGAAATGTCATCAATGTCAGTTTGTCAGTGTGTCACGTTTTTGCAATTAAAGGGAGACAAATCTCAAAAGCTCATTTCCTTCGATTAACTTTTCAAAGGTCAGCTTAAATATTAATGGAATACTTAAATGCAGCGATCAATTTTGAGTTCTTCTGTAGTTTAATCTATTGCATCTAATCCTCCCTACCTATTGCGATGAAGGTTCAATCCAGAGACCTCCACAAGCGCTAGCTTAAATGCCACCCGATGGTGCGGCTTTTAAGCTAGTATATATTAATTGAGAAATCCAGCAAAAGTCACACATGGAATAAAAATAATTTTTTGTATGGAAAGTAAGGACCTAAGCACATCAAATTGTCTTTGGTGGTCGCAGAAGAATTATCGTTGAACTTTTAAAAGGTAAGCTTAAATATTAATGCAATAGTTAAATGCAGCGATCAATTTTGAGTTCTTCTATAGTTTATTGTTGCCTATTGCATCTAATCCTCCTCACCTATTGGGATGAAGGCCCATTCGGAGCCCTCAGCTGGAGCTAGCTTAAATACCACTCGATAGGTCAGCTTTTCAGTTAGGATATATATATATATATATATATTTCAGTTATCTGTTTGGAATGGTATTGCTTTTATGTTCATCGACTTTTTCATGTTGAATTGTATATGGTCTATGTTAATTATGTTTTATGAATATGTCCTGAAGATGGTCTATTAGACCGAAACGTCCGACGTTGACATTAAACATTAAAACAGCATAATCGCATATTAGGATTTTTGTTGGTTTTTCCAGTATATTTTTCTTCATATATATATATATATATATATATATATAGAGAGAGAGAGAGAGAGAGAGACAGACAGACAGAGAGACAGAGACAGAGAGTGATAAAGAGAGAGAAAGAGACATTGAAGTCAAATAAAAGTGGCCATGGACGTCAACAACCAGAGACGACATGAAACAGACTGCCGCCTCTGGATGTTAACGCCAATGTCCACTTTTATATTTATACGTTCTATCCCTGTTATTGAACAAATTATCAATTAAATATAGCATACCCTAAAACTATATTTTTTTTATGTACATACATATATATGCGTGTGTGTGTGTATGTGTGTCTGTGTTTATATATATATATATATATATATATATATATATATATATATATATATATAAAAAACACAGTATGAAGAAAAATATATGGAAAAACAAAAATCAGAATATGCAAATACGCTGTTTTAATGTTGTTTCAATGTCGACGTCAGACGTTTCGGTCTAGTAGACCTTCTTCAGGACATAGTTATTAAAACATATTTAACATTAGACGATATTCTAAAAAATTTCAGTTATTCTGTTTTGATTAGCCTTACTCTTATGAGTGTCGTCTTTTCATATTGACTTGAATATCGTCTAATGTTAATTATGTTTTAATAACTATGTCCTGAAGAAGGTCTACTAGACCGAAACGTCTGACGTCGACATTGAAATAACATTAAAACAGCCTATTTGCATATTCGGATTTTTGTTTTTCCATATATTTTTCTTCATATATATATATATATATATATATATATGCTGATCTCTCGTGTCGTTTTCGACGAATGAGGGTCAAGCAGCTCAGTTCTTAGAATCAACAGCTAGAGTAACGACACATATTATTTGATTTTGCCGAACCAACCAGAATTTTTGGAAGAGCGAAATACAGAGAATTGTTGCACAGTATTCCAAGAGATCCCCAAACGACCGGTCTCAGGTTTTGAATAAAGAATTGTCCTTCTAGACCGTTCACAACCCAAAAATATAGGACGCAATCTGCCCTGCACATTACCCGTGTCTAAAGAGAGAAGAGGCGGAGTCAAACCTTTGCCATCGGAGACCGAATCTCGAAAAAAAATAATCCAACTCGCATGTCGCTTCGAAGAAAATAATTTGTCCAACCCGTATACTTCTAGCTGCGACGCAAAATTATGGACTCCTCAGGGTTATTACAATGGTTCAAACACAAGACACGGCTAGATAGATAGATAGATAGATAGATAGATAGATAGATATGAACAGACTGGGATAGATAGATAGATAGATAGATAGATAGATAGATAGATAGATATAAAGGGTGCGATGTATAAATTGTCGTCTAACTGATACAAAAAGTAAAATAGCACTGACATCTCATTTTAACAGATATATTTATCAAAATTTCAAAAATTATCTTGAAATACTAAAATGCCAATTTATTCAATAAAATCGCTTCGGAATCTACTGCAACTCTTCTGGACGATCTCCTTGTTTAAGTTGAGAATGCTGCCATAATCTTTGCCTAGTTCATTTTTGGTGTTGCATGAAGTTCTGTTGGTCTCCCACTCAACTGTGTCCCACACATAATAATCAAGGGAATTGCAGCAGGGGGAGTTAGGTGGCCAAGTGCAAGGGGTGATGTAGTCGCAGAAATTTTCTGACAGCCATGACTGAGTTCACCTGCTTGTGTGACATGTTGCAGAGTTGTGTTGCCAGACATAGGGTCTCCCTGCAGCAACCATCTTAACCTAGAGCAGAACTACTTCGTCAAGGGGCTTAATGTAGGCCTCCGTGGGAAAATGAATGGATGAATAACGTCACCATCGCTAGTGATCACTTCAAACACCTTCGTAATCACCATTAGACTCATCCAACTCTTTCGAATCATCGGCACTGTCCTCAGATTGACACCCAAACACTCTGAAATATTCGTATTTGAGCTTCCGGCATGAATCAATCAATGGCATTTCTATCTATCTATCTATCTATCTATCTATCTATCTATCTCAGTCTGTTCCTATCTATCTATCTATCTATCTATCTATATATCTATCTATCTATCTATCTATCTATTGTATACACTGCTTAGACTCCTAATTCTGTACGTTCGACTCTGATCCTTTGTATTATCATAATCTGTAAAAGAAAATGTACAAAAATAAGCTAACGCTTACATACCCTTTCAATCACTGCTTCGACGTTTCCGGATTATTTTCAAATTTAAACACACGCTTTCTCGACAGATTTATGACATGCCTCACATTCATCCTTACTATCTATCAATCTGAGGTCTGTTACCATCTATCTATCTATCTATCTATCTATCTATCTATCTATCTATCTATCTATCAGCCTGTGCATATCTATCAGTCTATCTATCTGAAACTATTCATATCTATTATCAATTTGTTGATCGATCTATCTATCTATCTATCTATCTATCTATCTATCTATCTCAGTCTTTTCATATCTATCTATCTCACTCACTTTATATCTATCTATCTATCTATCTCAGCCTGTGCATATCTATCAATCTATCTATCTCAAACTCTTCATGTCTATAATCAATTTGTTGATCTATCTATCTATCTATCTATTTATCTATCTATCTATCTATCTATCTATCTATCTATCTGCGGTCCATCCTTATCTATCTATCTATCTATCCATCTATCACTCTATCTATCTCAGCCTGTGCATATCTATCAGTCTATCTATCTCAAACTCTTCATGCCTATTATCAATTTGTTGATCTATCTATCTATCTATCTATCTAACTCAGTCTTTTCATATCTATCTATATCACTCTCTTTATATCTATCTATCTATCTATCTATCTATCTATCTATCTATCTATCTATCTCAGCCTTTTCCTATCAATTTATCTGTTCCTATCTTTATATGCATCTTTCTATCTATCTACCTCAGTATGTTCATGTCTATCTATATATCGATCTATATATCTCATTCACTAAGAATTCTTTTTTTTACCATGCATCAGTTTTTATTTATTTATATACTTATTTATTTTCTGACTCCATATTTCCCATTTCCGCGACAATTCTTGCACTTGGGCGAACTATTTTCTCTTATTTCAATATCAAATGATTCAGAGGTTTGCTGACGCCATTTTTTATCAAGTGTTCTTTCAATCAATTCACATTTTAGCCCCTCTCACTATATATACATATTTATACTCCATCTCTCTCCATCTCTCTCCCTCTCTCTCCCTCTTTCTCTCTCCCTCTCTCTTTCGTTATTGGCAAAAATCTATCTTGACCTTGACCATCTTCTTCCTTCTTATTTCCCATTCTTCCTCTCGCAAATACAGCAAATAGCAAATCTCTTTATCCATTGTGATTTACAATTCCCGCCTTTTTCTCCTCATTTTTTCTCATTCAAATTTACTGTTTGCTTCAAATTTCTTCTTTCCCTCCTCTCCTCTTCTTCTTCTTCTTCTTCTTTTTCACCATTTTCTTCTTTTTTATCCTATTTTCCCAGCCTTTTCTTTCATTTTTGCTTTTTCATTTAATCCTCATTTTTTTCCTTCTGTACGCTCACTTTTTCATTTTATGCTCTTTCTTTTCCAATCTTTTCTTCATTTTTCATTTTTCTTGCATGATTTTGCATTTTTCTTTTTCTAGTTCTCCATTTTCCCTAAATTCATTTCTTTCTTTTATACCGTCATCTTCCTTCCTTTCTTCTTCTTCTTCTTCTTCTTCTTCTTCTTCTTCTTCTTCTTCACCACCTCCTCCTCCTCTTTCTTCTTCTTCTTCTTCTTCTTCTTCTTCACCACCTCCTCCTCCTCCTCTTTCTTCTTCTTCTTCTTCTTCTTCTTCGTCTTCTTCTTCGTCGTCTTCTTCTTCTTCTTCTTCACCACCTCCTCCTCCTCTTTCTTCTTCTTCTTTTTACCACCTCCTCCTCCTCCCCTTCTTCTTCTTCTTCTTCTTTATCACTTTTGCCCTCCTACCACACCTCATTTCCGTCTAAATTTCTACATCTTCTGATTTCTTTTTTTCCTTTTTTATCACATCTCGCACCCCATTACTACCACTACTACTGCTATTACTCCTACTAGCATTATCCTTATCAGTGTTGTTGTTGTTGGTGATATTGGTCTATTCTGCATATCATCATCATCATCGTCATGAATAGAGTTAGTCTTTTTATTTTATAAGTGTGGTCTTATTCTCTTTCTCTTCTTCTGCTTCTTTTTGGCTTCCATCTTTTATTCACTTTGCGTTTTTCTTCTTTTTCGTTTTTTTCTCTAGAATTCCTTTATATTGCTCATTCATTCTCTTTTTCTTACCCAGATATTTTCTTCTTTTGTTCCTTCTTTGTTTTGTTTTTTACCTCATTATTTTTTTTTCATTCTCTGTCATTTTTTCGCTGTCTTTTAGCTTCTAATATTTCCTACTTTTATACCATCTCCTTCTTTCTTATTGTCAACATTTTTCATTTATTCTTTTCCTTCTTCTGTTCAGTCTCTTTTTTCTTTTTTTCTTTCTCCTTTTTTTTAAAATCATTTTCCTTCATTTATTTCTTCGTCTTTTACTTTCTTTTTTCGTGTCATTTAATTTCCTTCGTATATTATTCATTTATTCCTGCCCCAACTTCTCTGCTTCTTCTTATTATTATTATTTTTCATCTGATTCATGTTCTTCTTTGATTCGTTCTCATTTTTTTTTTTCATTTTTCTGTTTTTTATTCTTTCATATTTACTTCCTTTAATCCTTTCGACTTTTTTCTTCTTTTCCACTTTTTCTTTTCCTTAGTTAATCCTTCATTTATTTTTCTTTTTTTCTCCAATTTCTTTTCTTTTCTTTTTTTTTTTTTTTTTTTTTTTGACATTCTCATCGGACATTCATTCTCCCTTTTATTTATCTTGTTTTTCTATTTTTCCTTCTTTTACACTTTCACCATCATTCTCCTTTTCCGTTTTCTTATTTCTTTCGTCTTTTAGAATTTCCTTCTTTTACTCTTTCCCCTTCTTTCCTCTCTTTCGTTTTCTGATTTCCTTTCTTTCTTTCTTTAACATTTTCTTATCTTAAGCTTTCACCTTTTTCTTCCATTTTTTTCTTTTTCTTATTAAATTCATTTATTTTAATCCTTCTCTTTTTACCTCCCATAGATACCACCGCCACTTCTCTCTTACCTTTTTCATGACTTTTCCGTCTATTGCTATCATTATCATTCAAAATAATCTTCCATTTTATATCATAATCATCATCATCATCATCATCATCATCATCATCATCATCATCATCAACAACGTTAACTTTTTAAGGGGGTGTATTAATGGTTTCTCATCTGTTTCTTCCTCCTTACTTTCCAATATCTTTATCTTTCTTTTTTTTTTTTCTTTTTTTTTTTTTCATTGTGCTATACCGGGTGTTGTTGTTGTTGTTGTTGGGAGGGGGGGATTTCTTTTTCCTATTTTCCTAATGTTCACTCATCACATTTTGATTTTTTTCTTTTCTTTATTTTATTCCATTATTTTCCCATTTGCTTATTTCATATTCGATTTTTTTGCCAAAGATTTCAAAATTTTCTTACCGATTTTTTTCTCTCTCTCTAAAAGCACCAAACTTGTCGACTCAACGTGTATTGCACGAACGGCATTAAGGTTTCTCCATATTATACTATACTATACAAAATCAAGAGAACATCGGCGCATTTTATAGCCGCCAGTCTACCAAACGCTGATAAGCAAGTTCAAATTTACCTTACGGCTTTATGTTATCTTTTTTTCTGCATGCACACAATTTTTGAAAAAGGCATGAATCTTTTCTTCCTATAACCATTATTTTACCCCTAATTTTTGTTTGAATTTTGAAATATTATTATTATTATTTTTATCTTTTATGAACAAGTGTTAGGTGGTGCAGGTGGTGTGATGAATATCGATTCGAAATGAGTAATCGCAAAACTGAGTTCGAATTCCAGTCGGGTTCATAACAAAGACTTACGCCCAAATACCCTGAAGAAAGGAATGAATTCATTTCTACTCCTCCAAGCAATGGGTTGAATAGAAGGACATACTAGGTCCTGTAGCTTTGTTTGGAAACTGGTCTATCGCAGAAAGAACCGGCAACCTACTGCGGAAAAAAAACTTTTATTTAATCAGTGACGAATCGAAAGAAACATGATCGTAAAAAGCGTGCATCATGTATAGCACTTGACTGTATTTATCGCTTCTCCCTCTAACTATGGGTTGAATAGCAGGACAGACTTGGTCTTATAGCCTTCGTTGGCAGTTGGTCTATTGCAGAAAGAACTGGCAACCTACTGCGGAAACATCATCTGCTTAATCAGTCATGAATTTAAAGAAACATGATCGCTCAAGCGTCTAACACATATAGCATTTGACTTACTTTATCACTACTCCCTCTAGCTATGGTTTGAATTGCAGGGCAGACTGGGTTCTTATTGTAGGTTAGTTTTCACAGTGGAGGCTTGTATTTCGCTAAGTCGGTCCTAAAAGGGCACGACGTACATAACATTAGGAACTTGAAATAAGAGTTAATGAGGCAGCAATCTAGTTGTGATGGTTGATACTTCAATGTCCGATATCGACTGACTCACTCAACTCCACTGAGCTCAACTGGCCACTGATACTACTACTATGGGAGAGTCTATTACAATAGAATAGGTACGTTCAGGTATAACAGTTCTATAGCTTTGATTGGCAATCGGTCTATCGCAGAAAGAACTTGCAACCTAGTGCGAAAATATCTTCTGCTTTGTCAGTCATGAATCGATAGAGACATGGTCTTCCAAGGGTGTATAATGTATGGCACTTGACTGTCTTTATCTTTTCTCCCTCCAGCAACGGTTTGAATATCAGAAGTCCTAGAGCCTTGATTGGTAATTCGTATATCGCAGAAAACAATGGTAAACAACCACAGGAACATCTTCTGCCTAGTCTGTTATAAATCGAAAGCGACATGATCGCCCAGGTGTGTATCATATATGGCACTTGAAAAGTCTATCTCTTCTCCGTCGAGATATGGTTTGAATAGCAGGACACCATTGGCACTATAGTCTTGGTTGGCCATCGGTCTATCGCAGAAAGATCTGTCAGCCTGCTGCGGGAAAATCTTCTGCCTACTCAGTCATTAATCCCAAGAGATATGATAGCCCAAACGTGTATACAACATGGCACTTAACTGACTAAAACTGTGGATAAACCGTCCAAAGTTCACATTTCTTCTATTGTTTGAGCCAAGTATTTCTACCATCTCAGTCATTAGTGAGAACTGTGTGTTGTCAGTATAGTAAATGAGATTTCGTTGGTTAAATTTTTTGAGGTACTGGAATTTGCATCCATCCACAGTGGCGTCTTGTGTCAAAGGAAAACACATCGGTAAAAAAAACATGTATGAAATATTTTTATTATTATTATTCAATATGAAATACGGTAACGAGGCATCTTCTCGGGTTATTAAAGGTTTTCATGAGCATGGAACCATTTCTTAATTGTTGTTATTCTCTGGTCTACTCTGATCCGGTTGGTAGCACCTATTAGGGTTCCAGCTGTCGGCAAATAACGAATCCCCAAACAAAAAGAAAATCCTGTGATAGTATAAAAATACATTTTCATATTAAAAATACCAGCAATATATTTTTATATTATAAAAAAATGACCAAGAATACATATTTATAGCCAAATGACCAATAGTACATTTTATTGTATTCTATATCCGGTTGGAAAACATCTGTTCGGACGATTGGAGATTTTGACTAGATTGGCAATTAGGTCTCCCAGTTTTACTGTTGAAATAGCTAGATGCAACTGTCGCTTCTATTCTAAGTTTCTTTTCTCATACTTCTGACCTATGGAACACCCTTCCAAATTCTTCAGTCTTTGTCACCTACAATCTTCAAAAATTTAAATGCAATATAAATCTCTGTCTTTCTGAATCCTGTTTCTTTATTGTCCTTTCCTTACTTCTCCTCGCTAAAGTCCGCTCATTCTCTTTCACTCCTTATAACCTCCCGCGTCCTAGTGGTATTATCGCCTTCCTTGGGGTTAAATGATTCAAATAAAGCAACAACAAAAGAACAATATATCTGAAATATTACGACAGACATTGAACATTTTATTCAACTGAGGTGGTTAGTTTTCCTTCGTGTTGCTTTACATAAAAAAAATAGAACAAGATGACCGAATCGGAGTTTTGAGCAGCTACCTCTCGAACAGCTACTTCGTTGTGACAGTTGAGAAAAGGCGGTCGGATCTAGCTAGTTCAACAGTAAATCAGTGAGAACTAGTTACCAATCTTGTCAGTCATTTAAGTGTCGTACGTGATACAGGCTTGGGCGATCATGTCTCTTTTGATTCATGACAGCGATCGACCAATTGCCAACCGAGGCTATAGGACCCAGTCTGTCCTGCTATTCAACCCCTGACTCGAGGAAGAAGAGATAAAGACACCCAAGTGGCATACGTGATACACATTTGGGCGATCATGTCTATTGTGACTCATAACTGACAAACCAGAAGATTTTCTCGTGGTAGATTTACAGTTC